CTCCACTCGTGACTAGAACCGACTGCTGAGCTCCACTCCTGACTAGAACCGACTGCTGAGCTCCACTCCTGACTAGAACCGACTGCTGAGCTCCACTCGTGACTAGAACCGACTGCTGAACTCCACTCGTGACTAGAACCGACTGCTGAACTCCACTCGTGCTGAACTCCACTCGTGACTAGAACCAACTGCTGAACTTCACTCGTGACTAGAACCGACTGCTGAACTCCACTCATGACTAGTACTGACTGCTGAACTCCACTCGTGACTAGAACTGACTGCTGAACTCCACTCATGACTAGAACCAACGGCTGAACTCCACTCATGACTAGAACCAACGGCTGAACTCCACTCATGACTAGAACCAACGGCTGAACTCCACTCATGACTAGAACCAACGGCTGAACTCCACTCATGACTAGAACCAACGGCTGAACTCCACTCATGACTAGAACCAACGGCTGAACTCCACTCATGACTAGAACCAACGGCTGAACTCCACTCATGACTAGAACCAACGGCTGAACTCCACTCATGACTAGAACCAACGGCTGAACTCCACTCATGACTAGAACCAACGGCTGAACTCCACTCATGACTAGAACCAACGGCTGAACTCCACTCATGACTAGAACCAACGGCTGAACTCCACTCATGACTAGAACCAACGGCTGAACTCCACTCATGACTAGAACCAACGGCTGAACTCCACTCATGACTAGAACCAACGGCTGAACTCCACTCATGACTAGAACCAACGGCTGAACTCCACTCATGACTAGAACCAACGGCTGAACTCCACTCATGACTAGAACCAACGGCTGAACTCCACTCATGACTAGAACCAACGGCTGAACTCCACTCATGACTAGAACCAACGGCTGAACTCCACTCATGACTAGAACCAACGGCTGAACTCCACTCATGACTAGAACCAACGGCTGAACTCCACTCATGACTAGAACCAACGGCTGAACTCCACTCATGACTAGAACCAACGGCTGAACTCCACTCATGACTAGAACCAACGGCTGAACTCCACTCATGACTAGAACCAACGGCTGAACTCCACTCATGACTAGAACCAACGGCTGAACTCCACTCATGACTAGAACCAACGGCTGAACTCCACTCATGACTAGAACCAACGGCTGAACTCCACTCATGACTAGAACCAACGGCTGAACTCCACTCATGACTAGAACCAACGGCTGAACTCCACTCATGACTAGAACCAACGGCTGAACTCCACTCATGACTAGAACCAACGGCTGAACTCCACTCATGACTAGAACCAACGGCTGAACTCCACTCATGACTAGAACCAACGGCTGAACTCCACTCATGACTAGAACCAACGGCTGAACTCCACTCATGACTAGAACCAACGGCTGAACTCCACTCATGACTAGAACCAACGGCTGAACTCCACTCATGACTAGAACCAACGGCTGAACTCCACTCATGACTAGAACCAACGGCTGAACTCCACTCATGACTAGAACCAACGGCTGAACTCCACTCATGACTAGAACCAACGGCTGAACTCCACTCATGACTAGAACCAACGGCTGAACTCCACTCATGACTAGAACCAACGGCTGAACTCCACTCATGACTAGAACCAACGGCTGAACTCCACTCATGACTAGAACCAACGGCTGAACTCCACTCATGACTAGAACCAACGGCTGAACTCCACTCATGACTAGAACCAACGGCTGAACTCCACTCATGACTAGAACCAACGGCTGAACTCCACTCATGACTAGAACCAACGGCTGAACTCCACTCATGACTAGAACCAACGGCTGAACTCCACTCATGACTAGAACCAACGGCTGAACTCCACTCATGACTAGAACCAACGGCTGAACTCCACTCATGACTAGAACCAACGGCTGAACTCCACTCATGACTAGAACCAACGGCTGAACTCCACTCATGACTAGAACCAACGGCTGAACTCCACTCATGACTAGAACCAACGGCTGAACTCCACTCATGACTAGAACCAACGGCTGAACTCCACTCATGACTAGAACCAACGGCTGAACTCCACTCATGACTAGAACCAACGGCTGAACTCCACTCATGACTAGAACCAACGGCTGAACTCCACTCATGACTAGAACCAACGGCTGAACTCCACTCATGACTAGAACCAACGGCTGAACTCCACTCATGACTAGAACCAACGGCTGAACTCCACTCATGACTAGAACCAACGGCTGAACTCCACTCATGACTAGAACCAACGGCTGAACTCCACTCATGACTAGAACCAACGGCTGAACTCCACTCATGACTAGAACCAACGGCTGAACTCCACTCATGACTAGAACCAACGGCTGAACTCCACTCATGACTAGAACCAACGGCTGAACTCCACTCATGACTAGAACCAACGGCTGAACTCCACTCATGACTAGAACCAACGGCTGAACTCCACTCATGACTAGAACCAACGGCTGAACTCCACTCATGACTAGAACCAACGGCTGAACTCCACTCATGACTAGAACCAACGGCTGAACTCCACTCATGACTAGAACCAACGGCTGAACTCCACTCATGACTAGAACCAACGGCTGAACTCCACTCATGACTAGAACCAACGGCTGAACTCCACTCATGACTAGAACCAACGGCTGAACTCCACTCATGACTAGAACCAACGGCTGAACTCCACTCATGACTAGAACCAACGGCTGAACTCCACTCATGACTAGAACCAACGGCTGAACTCCACTCATGACTAGAACCAACGGCTGAACTCCACTCATGACTAGAACCAACGGCTGAACTCCACTCATGACTAGAACCAACGGCTGAACTCCACTCATGACTAGAACCAACGGCTGAACTCCACTCATGACTAGAACCAACGGCTGAACTCCACTCATGACTAGAACCAACGGCTGAACTCCACTCATGACTAGAACCAACGGCTGAACTCCACTCATGACTAGAACCAACGGCTGAACTCCACTCATGACTAGAACCAACGGCTGAACTCCACTCATGACTAGAACCAACGGCTGAACTCCACTCATGACTAGAACCAACGGCTGAACTCCACTCATGACTAGATCCGACTGCTGAGCTCCACTCCTGACTAGTACTGACTGCTGAACTCCACTCATGACTAGAACCAACTGCTGACCTCCACTCGTGACTAGAACCGACTGCTGAACTCCATTCGTGACTAGAACTGACTGCTGAATTGCATGTAATCTTTTGTGTTTCCAGTACAGAGCAGTGCAAACAGCAGTTTTGCGGCGTGAACTGAAATGCACTTCTGAAGCTGCATTGGATGTGTAGGAGTGGATGGGGAAGTCACTCTCATGTTTTTCTCTGTTTTGCAGGAAAACCTCACAGCATCGAGAGCTCTGAGCGCATCCAGCTCTCCGGAACGTATAACGTACGGAAAGGAAAGCTGCAGCTGCCGGTGAACCGCTGGAGTCGACGGCAAGTGATTTTATGCGGCACTTGTCTGATGGTGTCCTCCGTGAAGGCCAGCCATACGGGCAAGATGCACATCCTGCCACTGATCGGAGGAAAGGTAATAAACTCACATGTTATAATCCTGTGGGCAATGTTTGTCCCAAGCCAGTGATCCTACAGTAGTGCTGGGCGGTATGACCAAACATTTATATCACGGTATTTTCCAAAATTATACCGGTTTCACGGTACATGACGGTATTTTTTTTTTCATGCATGACCGGGTGTTAACCATATTTTCTACTGATTGAGAGGAAATACTGCAGTATATTGACTTAGAATACCCTATTTTACTGTCATGATGAGTGAATATTGTCAACAAATACCCCACTAAATAGTGACTAAACACGACCCCTTTTAATACATGTTAACCAGGAGTCACTCTCATTTATAATCACGGCATCGTCAGATAAAATCAACATGCATCTACACTAAAGAGCGGCTATGCGGTTGTGTTGGCTAGATTACTCTTTTGTCTCATGCAGCGCACTGCCTGCGTCCGAGTAACAAACTAAAAACAACAACACACAAAAAAGTGCATGTGATATTAACAGATGAACTACGCTCATATTTATAACTCCAAACACTCAGTCAGCGACAGGTGCTAGGAAACGCTGTTTTGTACTCATTTATTGAGGAGTCGCTGCTTCTCTGCCGCTCACTGCACAGAACACACGCCGAGAGAGGCGACACTTCTCCGGGAAAGTCAGACCTC